TATATATATATATAATATTGCCCACTCATGCAGCATACCAGTTGAAAGCTAAATCAATTCTACATGATATGCTACATTACTCATTCATTTATGTTAAAAGACACATGAGATGTGGTCACTCAAAACTAACCTTAAAAAATCAGGCTTGGCAAAATTGTGCGAAATCAAAGAAAATCAATATTGATAGAATGGACATGCATTGCATAATTATCCATTGAATGGAGAATTTTGTCTCTTCAGTAAACATTATTTCATAAATGTATTTAAATACGATAGTTTTAAACAAAACGGAATACAGAGCAATGAAACGCAAAATTTAACAAAACTAAGTGTGGTCATTGTTATTTTGCTTAGGAGCCCTTGGTTTTGTTTAGTGAACGCATCTATTCTATTACATTTTGGACATAATATTATCTGTGATTTCATTCCAAATAGTGCAGACAGTTGCAAACCAAGGGTATGGATTGGGTACAAAGTCGCTTTTCTTCAGTTGCTGTTTCATGCAGGATTCATATCGGGGCTATTTTTGGTGACCACTTCAACGTTGATTTGATTTCGTTTTCCAAGAATTGTCTAGTGGCATTGGTCCTGTGAGAAAGTGCTTTGCTACACATGGGGATGTCTGCTTAAATGACACCATGGTGAAAATGATTCACGAAGGCAGTTTTGTTCATTCCACTCCAGACCACTCAAAACCACATTGGCCTCCGTTCCTGAATGATGGATGATTATGTCCAACATTTAAATAACATTATCCAAGTAAAAAATAAGGTTTCACATGTTATGTTAAGAAATAAAAACAAGAACTATGTAGGCAATTGCAGTGACTTACGAGCTAGCACCCCTGCTCAGTTACAAAAATATCCCAACCGAAGAGAAATCCCAGCTCATCAATAACATCTTCATACCAACCTTAATATACCAGTGCCAAACATGGTCTCAAAACAAGGACACAAGAAATAAAAATCAATGCAAGCGAAATGAGGTGTCTCCGCAAAACCATGAACGTCACAAGAAGAGACTGCATAAGATATGTCTAAAAACCGAAATACCAAGAGTAATAAAATTCATAGAGCGTCAAAGAATCAAATGGTTTGGACATCTAACCAGGTTGCCACAGAAACAACTAGTGACTAGAGCTTACAACACCCGAGAAGCCGGCTTCAAATTAAGAGGAAGACAAAGAAAAACCTGGCTGTATAAGAATAAAAAGGTCCTGGAACAACATAATATACTAACTATCACAGACGCTACACACCTAGCACAAGCTCGAAACCTTTACCTCCCCTCGACATCCTAAAGGTGACAATCTATATTATGTGCGGGACGGCAGCGGCACGGCAGCGGCACGGCAGCGGGACGATTAAAATCGCTCCAACAGAAAAATCAATGTCCGAATCCATTAGTGCGGGACGGCAGCGGTACGGCAGCGGGACGATAAAAATCGCACCCAGGAGCGATTCTGCCGCTGACGCAGCTCTGCCGCAGACAAAAATATGAATGTGGCGGAATAGGGTTGACTGAAGAATCTCTATGTGATGCAGTCAATTCATTTGACACGGAAAACTTGCTGAAACCATTGCACCCCTTTGTAATAATGAAAATAATAATATATAACATTTATATAGCGCATTTCTAAAAAAGTAGCTCAATGCGCTTTACATTGGAATACCCATTTTTCAAAAACCTTTCTTACTACTTCCTTTCTTCTCAAGCAATATACATTAATGCACACACACACACACATACACACACACACACACACAGACAAACACACACACACACACACAAACAGAAAGGAAGAGAGAGAGAGAGAGAGAGAGAGAGAGAGAGAGAGAGAGAGAGAGAGAGACTATTTTCATCCAGACATAGGAACAGAAAAAATATAATGAAAGATAACGTTAAAATCTTATGAAGGATAGGCCTGTAGGAACAGAAAATGTTTAAGATGTCTTTTGAAGCTATCAAGTGTTCTTATTTGTCTTAGTTTCATGGGTAATCTGTTCCAAATTGTCGTCGTTCATCCACCCATTTTCTTGATATGCCCAAATGGTGCCTTCTGGGCTGTCCTGAATTTCAAAGGAATGGATGGACCTGTTCGTTCTGCTAGTGACAAAAGATCAAGATAATTGCAACTTTTCAATACTGGCAAAGTTACCCGTCGGGCGTGGCGAATTTACCCGACAATTGGTAACCTTAGTAAAATGTATTTATTTAATAAAATTGATTGAAATAACAATTAAATACCTCTACCTAGAGATAATAAAGCAG